CATAGGTGTCTTTGGTATTTTTGGGAAGAGGAAATTCAGTGGGATGTATGAGCTGGTGTGTTATCACGGTGACTACTTCAAGATTTGTTTTTCCACAATGCTGTGCGTTTTTGACGAATTGTTTTGCGCAAACGGCGCATAATTTCCAAGGTAGTATTCCTAATTGATCGTAAGACGAAAACAAGGAGCAAGACATTGCACAGTTGTCCCAATTCAAAATTTTTTGGCCAAAATTATTTAATACAACATAATGTACACTTTTCGTTTATAAATAGATTAATATTTATTATAATAATATTAATATTTATTGCAAATCCGTTAAAACGCGTTTCTGCAATCATAAGGTACAATATAGTACTATTTATTAGGTTTTTAGATATGCAAAGGCATACAAAATGTTAGGGTACAAAATGTGATGTTTTAGTACAAACATGAGTTGTAAAACAAAATAAAATGCGGTAAACATAATTCAAAATTTACTCTTTTTATAAAAGTATGAATTAAAACAGGCTTAAGAAGGTTGTTTTATACTATTAAGTAAAGAAAATAAAAGATCTCTATTAAGTTTTAAATTAATTAATTATTGAATATATGTAGATATTTCGTTTTCCAGAACTATATTTTCATCGCCATATTCTTCTTCGAATTCTTCATCTGTGGTTTCATCACAATCAGTATCATTCGCGGGCCGTAATTCATCGTTTAGTTCACAAAATAACAATTCGATTACTTCAGATGGCAGGTTTAACCGCGTTTAGGCGTATAGATGATATAAGTGGATCAGATGTATCCAATGCTCTATTAAATACGTCTGTGAGATTATTGACACGACTACTGTTTCTAGCGTGTAATAATCTGTCATTTTTATATATTTTGTTTCTGCATTCAGCAGCATCTTTAAAATATCTTAAATCGGACGGTACGGCTATGTCACAGTGTGGGCCAATTTTCAAAAAAATGTTGCAGAAATGTTTTTTATACTATTAAAACCATAAATATCAATTTTAAGAAAAATCGGATGAAACTTTGTCTTTATCCCACATTTTCAGTTCAATACTATATACAATAAAAACATCAATTTATAAAAAAATTCACTCAACTTAAAGTAGAAAAATACATTTTTTCTAAAAAAGGCAAAATAAGGCAAAATATTTCATCTGAATATGTTAGTACATACCCCTGCCAGCTTCCAAAAATTTTTGGGAGGAGACGATATTTTTACATTTTTTCTAAAGTTTAAGAAGATTTCAAAAATAATTTTCAATATACACACAAACTTTTATTTCCCTACCCAGATATTATAACTTTCTTCGTTCTTTCTTTATATATTATGAAAGCACTTATTATCAGCTTCCAGATTCATAATAACTTTGGTCTGAATTTCGTATACCCATTCGACCACACAGCACACCAAAAAGTATATATTTTACAGCACACAGTCTGTTCTATTTTTTATACAAAAAAGTTTCAACTTTAGCATTACACCAACGAGCGGCTATTAATGGTATTTAGAAAAACCAATTATTTTCGGATGGTTTGAAGTGTTTTTTATTATTCCGCGCAAAAAAATTATAAAAATATGAAACTTCAAAAAAATAATTTTGGCCAAAAATTTTGTGATTGCGACAACTGTGCATTGTAATTTCATCGAACATATTTTTCGGTATTATTATCGGCTTTCCTTAAATCAGATACGCCACAATTGCAAATGTCTTGGCGCATTTGTTTTAATTTATAACACAAAACTTAAAACTGTTTCTTTTATCCATTCTTCGAAATTGATGTCAATTATACTGTTTTATGTACTCGGATGTGGGAGTTATACGTGAATATTTAAAGGTGTCTATGTGTTATGATATTATTTAGTATTACTATTACCGCACTTGAGGGCGGAAATGTCCCATGAAGTTCCGGTTATGGTCAAGGACGATGCCTATAATTTTCGCCGTAAACCACAGTCGGGCGAAGCACCGCACGTGTGCACTCTCGCGAGAGTAAGTATCACTATTCTCTCACAGACATTCAATTGAACCAATTGAAAAACCATTGACACACACACAAAGACAAGTGCGTGAGAATAGAATTTTTTATGCTCTGCCCGTTCCTGCCGTAAACATTAACCTCGGACAAACAAGATTTGGAAAATATGCCAGTGTTAGAAAGTGGTCAAAAGCGTGCAAGCATCGCGAAATATATATTTATTTGAAGAGACAGGTCATCACTAGACCTCGGATTTTTGCATATTTTTTATGCTTTATCCGATTCGACTCAAATTTTGTATTTAGGCGTTTCATGCTTTAATTGATCGATATTTGGGGTCATGTCAAAAATATGCAAAAAATATGCAAAATATATGCAAAAAATATGCACGGTATGCTAGGTCGATATGCGATAAATATATGCAAAAAATATACAAAATATGCAAAAATGTGCAAAATATGCAAAAATATGCAAAATATGCAAAAATATGCAAAAATATGCAAAATATGCAAAAATATGCAAAATATGCAAAAATATGCAAAATATATGCAAAATATGCAAACATATGCAAAATATGCAAAAATATGCAAAATATGCAAAAATATGCAAAATATATGCAAAATATGCAAAAATATGCAAAATATGCAAAAATATGCAAAATATGCAAAAATATGCAAAATATATGCAAAATATGCAAACATATGCAAAATATGCAAAAATATGCAAAATATGCAAAATATATGCAAAATATGCAAAATATATGCAAAATATGCAAACATATGCAAAATATGCAAAAATATGCAAAATATATGCAAAATATGCAAATTATGCAAAAAATATGCACGGTATGCTAGGTCGCACTATTAAAGATAGAACTTTGAAATTTTGGTCCCCGTTTTAGTATATCGCCATATAACGGTTATATATGTTTGCATGTTTTATACATATATTTAGCAAATTTGTCATAATGCCCAAAAAATCTAACAGTTGAACCATGAAACGCATACATACACAATTAGATTTCTATAGGTTAAAAATAAAGAAAGCACACAAATTCGAAAACTACCATGACAATTTTTTTTTGTTGATTAAAATGATTGCATATGTGAAACATGTTGCTCATATTTGCACATATTTTCCATATATTTTGCATATTTTGCATATGTTTGCATATTTTGCATATATTTTGCATATTTTTGCATATTTTTGCATATGTTAGCATATTTTTGCATATTTTATAATTTTCAAATAATCATAGAATGACTATTGCTGAGATATTTTTCAAATAAGTGTTTAATATATATATATTTTTATAATAAACCGACGATTTCGAACTCTATTCAAAATAAATTGGAAAGGGAAAATGCGAAAACAAATTCGCTACGATTTGTTGTTTAGAACATTTTTAAAGGGAAGAGCGAACAAATTCACGGAGCATTGATGCCCAGAATAAGGCTGTATAATTATATAGACACCTTAAAGTATGCATCAGATTAATGAACATGAATTTGTGGGGCATTGTCCGATTTAAACATTCGTCATTTTTTTAAGTTATTAATAAAAACGCATTGAAGTGACAAATTATATGCTCCATTAAAATTTTTGAAAATCTCTGTGACGAGAGTGACTTTAAAATGCTTGGCGTCTCTTATCTTACACTGATATTTGTAGAACGCAGAGTGACAATAATAAAACAAAAATATTTTTGGAGGGGTTTTAAACATTGTATATTGAAAGTTTTTATTTAAAAAAATATATATTTATGATTACATGAGTATACCTAAAGCAAATGAATACAACGTAAAAGTAGAATATTTTTTTTTTAATTTTTTGATTTTTTGCTTGATTTTTCCATTTTTATATACTTCTTATTCTATATTAAAATTAAAAATACATATTTAGAATAACCTGTCTAATACTATAATACAGCAATTGTGTATATTCAAATATTTATTATTCTTTGATCTCATTTTTATAATCGTTGGTTTGTTCGTTTGCCATTGTAGAGAAATAAACAGAAAAAAACTCTTTAGAACTTATACTTATTTATTTTTTACAAATAATTATATATAAAAAAATACAAATATGCAATGATGTATGATGGGGACTTATTATTAAAAAAATATATGTTTGGTTCTTTGCCGTTTCAACACATTAAAAATTATTATTGTTTTAAACACAAAGTAAATATACATGCATTTGACTTACAAAATTATTATTTCATTATTATTATTACAAATTTAATGAACTTTGACTTCCTATATTGCCACAGTCTTAATAAATGTATTGTTTTTGTTCTTAAGGCTACATAAAAATTATATGCATTTTAACTAGTTTATACTCATTGTTGTTGTATTTTTTATGAATAAAAAAGTTTAAAATAATAATACAAAAATATTAAACAAATACTAATAAAGATCAATTTTTTCAATTTAAAATTAATTTATTCTTATACTCTTATAGAGTTTGTTATTGTAGATTATTATAATTATTATTTTTTAGTTTTATTTTTTTTTCTTTTTATATTTTATAATTATTATTATATTATTTTTTTTATTATTTTTTTTTAATTTTTATTAATTGAAAATTGTCATGCTTACTCTCTTTTGTTTTGTTAACTTGAACATTATTCGATTCGATCTGTTATCGTGCTAGTCATATACATTTATAAAGATCCCTTAAAAGCTTCTTAAATTAGTTCCTACAATTTTTTTTGTGGTCTAACTTCAAATACTTAAAAATGTGTTAGACTCTTCTTAAGGTTACAGAGCTTTTAAGCTTTATCATAATTGGTAATCTATAAACAATACAGTTCACTGATATTTACATACAAAGTGAAAGCTTTTTCACCAACAGAACGCAAAGCTTTAAAGCTGTTTAAGGCACAAAATTCCTCTTTACTGCCACAAAATTGTATGCAATGCTATGAGAAAAGCTTTTCTCTGCATTTTCAAATTCTCCTCCATGGCTCACCGACTGGCCAAAAAGCCTTATCACCACCACCAACACTAAAACCTAACCTAACAATTCATATAATTGTGATCATCACCATTGGCTCCATCAACCTGATCCTCCGTTTTGGCGTTCTCAGTCTCTTCCTTCGGGGGTTCCAAATTTGCACCCACATTTTGATATACCTCAGCCTGAATTTCTAAACTTCCCACTTGCGGTATGGCCACTTGTTTTGGTTTAAAGGACGAACATTTGGGATTCGATTTGGTTAGCTTGCCATAAATAATATTCGATCTCTCATTTAATTTGATCGGTTGCAGGGTGACACCATTTTGATAATTATGCTCCTGTTCCTGTTTAGCCTCCATAATTGTATTTAGATAATTATTACACGATGATGATGAGGAGAGGTTTTGACTGCTATAGACGGGAATATTTGAGGGGAACATTTGATAATGTTCGGAACTTGTAGGGCTGGTGGGTGTGTTGAGTTTTGTGCACGATGACATTGGGGATGGGAATACAATTTGATGTCTTTCATCGCCAGGGGTGGAATTCGGGGTGTAGACCGGTCTGGGTGTGGGTGGTACTAAATAGTTATCCATACCCGGTGAAGCTAGACGGCAACCAAATCTACGTTCATCATGATCTGAGTGGGTACCAGAATCTCCCAGCGAAGTACCACTGCAATTGCTGCCGGTACTCAAACGTCCCGATGAAGAAGATGACGACACGGATTGTAAACTCAAGGAGCTAATAGGTCTAGCAGATGATTTGAAGCTGGAAGAGGTTGTAATCGATGATTTGGTTTCATCCAAAACACTGTCAACACATGAAGATTTATCGTGATGCAAATTCGAGGTGGACTTGTGACGTGAAAATAATTTCTTGATTTTTTCAAATGGTGTTTCACGTTTCAAATGATGGCGTATTTGATCCTGGATACGTTCGTACTCCCTTCTCAGTTGATCGATTTGATCTTGCTTCTCACGGAAACTTTGTTGCACATCATTGCGATGTTTCCATTTTTCGACCAAAACCTCTACCTCGCGAATGGACAGGACATTATTTTTAAAGTCATGCATAATTTCAGCTAGCTCATCATCAACATTAGCTCTGGCCGAGGAGGAGGCATCAGACACCGAGCGCTTCAAAGTGCCATAGGTGGGTTGATGAGCCAAACGTGTGGAGGAACCCATGCGATTCAAACTCTGTCTCGATTGATGCAAGAACTCTTCCTCAACTGGACGATTTGAAGGTTGGAATAAATAATTACCATCATCGGTGTTGGTGGGGGAAGTGGGTTGTTGTTGGTGCTGCTGCTGCATTGGTGGTACTGGTACATTTGAGGGTTGTAAAACATAATCATTATTGGCGGCGGTACTGGTACAATTTTCCAACAATTGGGAGCATTCTTGGCTAAATTTATCAGTTTGATAGATGGGAGCATCGGTGACATCTTTCGATGTGGAGGCAGCCTTATTTTGTTCCTTTGAGGCATAATATGGAGGTTCACTAATGTTCAATTCATTGGATGTAATTTCAGGTGTCGTAACCACCTTATTGGAATCGAAATTTTTGCAAACATCAGCCGAAGAGCCTTGCAGATTTTCCTCTTCTGTCTCTACACTAATGTAATTGAGATTTGATATGGCCATGGTTTCCTTCTCCTGCTTTGGTTTTGTTTCTGGTGTATTTTCCCTGTCCGAACCACTTGACATTTCCATATATTCGGCCTGTTGATCGGCTGGTAAATCACGTACCTTGGGGGATTTGGGTGATTTTGGCTGCTTGGTCTTTGGTGATGCAGGATGAGATTTAACAGCCTCAATAACTACCTTTGTATTACCAGCCGCCTTTCCACATGCCGTTGCTCCTGAAGCCACCTGTTGCTGACTCTTGGTATCATTTGTGCTCAAACCCTTGAAATAATGATACATTGTGGTGAGTTCATGGAATTCGGAAAAGCTCATTATATTGCGTGCCAATTTATGATGTCCCTCCATATCAGCCAGTTCGGCCGGCGTCTTGCCAGCACAATTTCTTATGCCACAGGCAGTGTCACCACCAGGGCATTCCATCAATTGCATACACAAACGATTAAGACCCCAACGTGCAGCAAAATGCAAAAGGGTAGGATATTCTTCAGGACTAGTTTCACGCATTGTCAGAAAGTGGGATTGCTTTTCATACGGACCATTCAATAAATGGAAATTGGGTGGCATGTTCTTTTGGAACGATTGCAATAAATGCAAATCCAATTCATCCTTCTCAGTGGGGCCAATACCCAAAGCATGGCACATAAATTCGATAGGGGAATCTTCGGTACGCAACAGCTGTTCCAATTCACGTAGACGGGATTCGCATTTTATTGGGCGGGCACCCAAACTTTTGTGATTCTTTTCGATGCGTACCTCAACCATTGTGGAAATTTCCATGCAAGATTCTGGAATGATAACAAAAGGGAGAGGA